TGTCTCCTTATCGATATGTTGGCTCCATGCATGGATTTGTTTATGCAATGGTAATTAAACCACGCCCTTGGCTCTTGCTAACAAGCTATAGCTCATTCTGGCCTGGAAATTCTCAGCCAGTTATCGCTCAACCAAATTATCCTGTCTATTCTGTAGCTTCTTCTGCCACAACATTTTTTCTCTGCATCAAGTCAGTGTCTATGCTGACACCTGGATTTTTCCACTGCTGTATCAGCATTCAGGACCAGCAGCACACCCGCAACTGGAACACATACATCTTCCCCAAGCAGCTCTCGGTATGAATTCAGAAGCTCCCACCCCATGCTCTCAGAACATAGTGCCAGTTTTCCTTTTTAGTGCTTTTAGTCCTTCCACCTTTTGCATGGCCAATATTTACCTTTCTCACTTTATGCTCTTGCATTCCTAATAGCATTCAATTTCTAGCTTCTCTTTGTACTTTTTGGCTTCAATATGTCTGCTGCCTCCTCAGTGCTCCAACAGAACAATGCAGATACTTCCCTGTGCTTCTACTCTCTAGCTGGCCCAGTGTTCCTACCACTGAGCAACTGCAACCATATTTCTGACTATTCCTGGATATGGTGCTCCGGACTCCCACTCTCTTCCATTTTCAAAGCTTTCTCTTACTTACGGCTCCTACCCAAGGCCTCTCTAAGTTAACAGTCACAACTACCTTCTCTCTCAAAAAAATGATAATGCATTATTAAAGTAACGAGTCAGAGTCATCAAGAAAAAAAGATTAAGACTGACAAACAAGAAGGGGCACAATCATTAAAAAGAGGTAAAGATGGCAAATGAGAAAAGGTTTCACTAATTTGAGAGATAGATTTTCATTTTTGTTTCTGAGAACAAGTCAAAGGCAATCAATTATTTTCTAAGGGATATCTTCTTGGTGTTGACACATCCTAAAATTCACTGTGAAGAACACCAAAGGAAATCCACGAGTGTTGATGAGAGACCAACTGTTTTAATCCTGGAGCAAAACATTAGGGTTAAACAATGTACTCCCTCCTGATCTATCCAGCCCAGTGAGTACATTACTACCCTCAGACCTCTCATGATGGGTAATCTAATCTATTGTATTTGCTGTTTACAAATGTGGTTTCCTCTATGTTGAAGAGACGAATCGCAGAACTGGTGACCATTTTGCCAAACCATACTATCTGCCCACAGAAATGACCCTCACCTTCCAATTGCCTGCTATTTCAACACACCACTGTGTTTGCTGGCCAAAATCTTTGTCTCGGGTTTGCTACAGTGTTCTAGTGAACCTCAGTGCAAGCTGGAAAAATGCCTCACTTTCTCCTTGAGAATCCTGCAACCTTCTGGAATCAATATTGAACTCAATAGTTTTAGGGTCTGCCTGAGCTCCTTCTATCATGTCCTTACCCCAAACCCCACACACTAGGGCTTGTCCTCACATGAGCTGCTACCATAAACAGACAATAAATTGTCAGACAATAACAATCCCCATTAACAGCTATTTATTCTCCTAGGCTGACCTTTACCCATTCCTTTGTCTGCCCAACTGTTTTTTTTTCTCTCTCTGTGCTCCATCTCCACCTATTGTTTTCTCTTTCACCCCCCCCTGCCCCTTTTCCAGCATACGTACCAACCTTTTCCTACCTACAATCAATTCTGAAGAAGGGTCACTGGAGCCAAAACATCAACTCTGCTTTCTCTCCGCGGATGCTGCCAAACCAGCTGAGTTTTCCTGGCAATTTCTAATTCTGATGGTTGCACCATTTTCTGGCTTGCTTATGTAAGTGTATGTGTATATACATGTGCATGTTACGTACGACAGCATTTTCCTGCACACTGGTATCTCTTGATTAATGGTTTAACATTATGTTCTGATTTTGGAAAATTTTATTAGCAAATGAGAACAATTTGGGCCAATGTAAGACAACTTCAGGAAACAGTCCAAAATGTGCCATTAGCTCTGGAAAGTGATTTCTTATTTTTACCATTTCAGATTAAGAACGGGGATTTCCAAAAAGGCACAAAGCAACTCGAGAGAGAAAAAAAACAAAATAGTAAACCAAATTGCAACAGAAACTGGTAATACTGATGGTGGTATTTGCCTTAATTACTGGCACCACAGGGAGGTTTTTTGAAGTAGATCACTGCCACTTTGTCTACACTGTGCCCGAGATCTGTCCTATCATCAATAGCAGAGGATAGACAACGGTAAGTCTAAACTGAAGAATTGCTTGTCTTATTTAACAAAAAGGATATTTGCATGACAGTAGTAAGTACATTTTACATCTCTAATTAGGCATAATCATTAAGGAACTCTCAGGAGTGGTTCAGAATACATTTAACCCATATGAAGACCATGACGGAACTCCCAATCTCGAACCAAAGACTGTGTGACATTATCTGATTGGGTGGACATAACGCAACTTCAATATGAACTCTTCCAGAGCTATTTCCTTACACAACACAGATAATCTGAAAGTAACGCCCCTTGTGGAAACACTTGACGTGGCTCTTCAAATTTCCTATTCCGTTGAACATTCCCATTCCGTTATTACTCAAAACACATTTCCATGGAACCACCAGCATCAATGCATAATTTCAGTGACCAGCACTAGCCTTTATTCTTTGAGATCACTGTTTACAATTTTAATATCAGCGAGATAATCAAATCACTTGACATTTAGTACCTATAGGCTCAACAGCTGTAGATCAAATCTGAAAATATACTCCATATTTGACTTAAACACAATTATTATTTCTGTAATTAATAAATTTATTGCCATTCTGCCTCATTCTCTGACGCTATTCCAGTTATCTTAGTACTCAGCACGCAGGTATCGAGCTTGCCAATTTATTCCAATCAGTTTAAAAAGGATGTCAAGCCAAATGGGCCCTCACAGGATGATAGTAGAAGTCAAAAAGGCAAAGTTAATTAGAGGATTCTGAAAGTTGTTTGTCATGCACCACAGAACACCTCAACAAACAGCCAATTCAATGGCCAAACAAGAAAACAGCATCCTCATTAATTCGTCTTTCATTTAACATTAAAATGATCTTTTACATCAGTCAAGGCAGAGGCACAATACAAAATGAAGATCTTTTGTGTTTCAGTACAATTTGTTCTGGTACCTATTACTCTTCAGTTTACCCCAATTAATAACCCTCTGTATTCCCAACATATTTTGAGTTTAGTGGACTCAAGTGTTACCCAAATTGGATTTTGGGGGCGCTTGAGACGAGAAGTTGTAACATAAAAATAAATAGAATCATTCAAAAAGAAAATCATTTGTATTCAAGTGCTGATATTTCAATATTAATCTGAAGAACAGTTATTTGATGATGCAGTTTCTTGCATATGGACTTTATTTTGATGCATTGAGGAAAAATAATAAGCAAATTCCAGCTGGATTGGTGGACTACCTCCACACAACTCCTCTCATTCTAGGTTTTAGCTCGTTGTTAAATGACGTTGTTGTAAAAGGTTACATGGCAAAATGACAGCAGGGGATCAGGCAAAGCACAGCTTATCAAAATGTAATTCTGCTCACAGGTACTGCTGGTTAGCTCAAAAAACAGACACAAGGGATTTTACCAATAAATGCTGGAATAGTGTTGTTATCCTTGAGTTTGCTGATAATGTGCTATCTACACTGGAAATCTATAAGCAAGAAGCATACCACACTGGGGGCAATCCACCTTCATTCTCTGTAGCATGCACCCTTCCCTGAAGGAGAACTTTGATGTCAGTGGGGAGGCAGAAGACCATGCAAACTCAAGCTGCTCCTCTGCTCTCCTGGGAGACCATTCCTACATTTTCTCTGAATCGTTCTCTCCTATTCTGTGTGCACTCAAATACATGGCACTGGCAGGGTCCTGGAGGGTGACAAAGCAACTGTTTTTAATCCTGAATCATCAGAGTTGCCAGTGTCACTACAGCTGGACTGAAACACATCCTCAACTGATGTCCACAGCAGGCATTTTCGAGCAAGGCCAGTAGTCGATGGGTAGTGGTCAAGCAAGAATCTCTTGATTCAATATTCCCCTCCCTGTCAAAGGGGCATGGAGCTCAATAGTAAACAAGATCATCACAGAAGCAGGGCCAGATCATTTCACGACAGAATCACCTTCTCTTCCACCAACCAATCCAAGCCAGATGACGGTGTGCAGCAATAGCTGTCACAGTGTAAAATAGCTGCACACCATCATCTTATGCTACCTTTTGTGCAATCAGCACAGCTGAAGCCATGACCACTTGTACTTATTGACTGCTCTGAGTGCTTATGCAAAGAGATTCAGTGCGATTAACCTTTTAATATTAAAGCAATTACAACAATTAGTGTGCAAATAAAGGATGGAAGGTAATTTCCCTACAGGTATTACACTGTAAAATATTTCATGTTTTTTTGATTTTTGCACAGATTTTCATGTTTAAAAGTATCCATACTTTGAAAAACCGTTCATAGTATTGCCAGGCCATCGTAACAGGAAACTGCCAGCAGCACCAGATGGGCTTTTGCGAATAGCGCAAATTATTATTTTTTTTTGCTGCTATGATACCTCACTTTATGGGACTGAAGCCATTACCAAGGGCACCAGCATGCAGAGAATGGCCTGCTTAGAGGAAGGGAAAACAAACACCTTATGTCTAATTCCATGAGCCAACCTACAGTGCAATAAATTAAAGCAGATAATTTAACAGCCAGCAAGCCTCAGGGAGACACAAAGCACAGGAAAAATGTCATTGCACAAAAGGTTCTTTAAATGGTGAATATGCATGGAGAAATAAAACTGTGGCTAAGTTACCTGAATGTAGGCCCTGCAAGAGCGCTCTCTTTTCTGAAGCTGAATCCATAGAGCCAGCATTATCAATAAAACACAGAATATTGGAAAGTTAATGAAAACAGGAAAAGAGAAAAAAAAACACGAGTTTTACCTTTGAGTGCACAACAGGAAGAAAAAAACCAACATTACAGAATCAATTGTAAAAACATCTCAGCCTGTGAGCCTCTTCATTGTTTTGTTCATGCTAAATTATCCTGTTTGACATTCAACATAATTAGAAGTACTGTACATTTAATTTGCTCTTCCAGTCCTACACTTCAATTACATGAAGAAACCAGATTACCTCAGTTTAAGTTACAGGGTTTAATTCCTTCCCACTACAGAGTTCCAAAACATACATAATTGCAGTTTCTGCAGTCCATTTAACAAAGATGGTTCAAACTACACCAAGATGTTCTAGTCTGTGTTCATCAATCACTTCAATCCATTTGATTGAATCCTTGGCCCAGATATTTCAATCAGGATCAGGTCCCTATTTCCAACTCTGATTAGACCAAAAATGCTTACCTTCCTCCGGCTTTTCTGAGTGAATGGAGGGTTCTTCAGAATTGACTCACTGCTGCAAACCTTGGCGGGAACGACAGCAGAGAATCTTCACAGAAGCCATGCCCCCCTCCTACAACACTAACTTCCACATTCCAGCAACACTTCAAATGTCCCAAAGATTCTTTGAAAAGCTATGGAGAGAAGGTAAGTGTAAACGGGAATAGGGGAGTAAGGTAAGTGGGTAGAGTTGTAGATAATGTAGAGTGTCAGATAGGAAGAGACATAAGGTAGCAGGTGGGTCAGTTGGGAGGGTTTGTCAGATCTGTGCTAGTCAAGTTGAGTCAGGATGGAGGGATCGTGGTGGATGTTGCAAGTCGAGTCAAGTCATGTAGCTATCCAGGAATTTGACTAGGTTTTCTCCTGTCTAACATTTCTCAGGTAAATATCCATCTATTTTTGTACCATCTGAAGTCTCTAGCTCTGCTCAGTCTGACTCTTTCTTTTGCAGGGTCATACAGGCAATTACCACAGACTCCTTCCATTGGAACTTCCATGGGGTCCTGTTGTGCAATCTGGGGCTGGGGTACATCCAGTCTCCAACCATCCGGAAACCTGAATATCTGAGCCTTTGTCCGAGTTAAAAGAGGCAGAAGGTGCAGACATGTGGCAGGGAAGAATTTATGACTAAAGTGTAAAGTATGAAAATAACTAAGCTGAAACAATGAACTCTGAGCACATAATTCAATATTAACAGCTTTATCGTTAACCTTTTATGTTTGAGTAAGTTAATAGCCTTTTTCTGAGACATTCTGGAACCGTGGAACAAAAATGTCCATTAGTTGTACAATGAAACACAATGAATTCACATAGCCTTGCAACATGACGTAGATGAATGTTGAATTAACTAGATTCACAAGTCAATCAACTTGAAAATGGTTCTCAACAATCACAGCTCTAATACCTCCTGCACACAATAGGCCAGTTTGGTTACTCAAGCTTGCGTCCAGTATGAAAAGGTTCAAAATAAGAAATAGCTGCAAATGTAGTCAATACACCATTTAAAATGCAAATTAACACGTTATGTTCAATGTCATTAAAAAAAGAATAATTTTGGTTTGTCATAATCCGCAGCGTTTACAGAGAATGAAGTGGAAACTGATTGAAACCACCCCATGAATTTTCTCTTCACTATTTTGTATATCACATTGTTAATTAAAGAGCTTTAGGTCACATCTGAAAGCGAGTCATATCTCTTATGAAATTGCTAAGATGGTCATTTTGCAAGAAAAAAAAACATTTAGATCACTATTTGCAAAGGTTTTGTACATAAAATGTTTGCTAGTTCACGTTGACTGTGTATATTTGGAGTTGAAACTAATATAGTTAGGAAGTTTTGCAGAGGTACACTCAATCGAATCATGGACCTCAAGTATTTGTGCACATATGGACAGAAACAGAAATGTTGTAGAAAATGCGTTCCTTATGTGCATTATGTGCCTTGTTCAAGGGTTGATGAGGACAAGGGTATCATGTAGTGTACACATGGGTTTCCAAAAGGTGTTTGATACAGAGCTGCTCTAAAGACATGTAAGCAAAGTTAGAACTCATGAGATTAAATGAACAATGGTAACATGGATTTGAAATTTTCTGGGTGACTGGAAACAGTTGTTAATGGATTTTTTTTTGGGATGGAGGGGGATTTTGGGACTGTAGAGAAGATACCCAGGAATATGTATTAGATCCCTTGTTTTTATGACATATATTTATGATTTATATCTCAGTATACAGTACACAGTTTCAAAATTTGGAGATGATACAAAGCTTATAAATGTTGTGAACTGTGAGGGGTACAAACGTAGAACGTCAAAAAGACATTAGTAAGTTGGTGGACTGAGTGGACAGGTAGCAGATTAAATTCGAAGCAGAGAAATCTGATGTGATTTGTTTTGATAAGAGGAACATGGAGAGGTGGTATTAAATATAGACTTTTAAACTCTAGAGGTGGTTCGGGGCAGACTGACCTGGATGCATTTGTGCATCAATCATTGAAAATGGTAGGACAAGCTGAGATGGCACCAAATAAAGCTTACAGTATTTCAGATGATTAATGACAGGATAAGATATTAGAGCAAGGAGGTCACATTCAACTTGTACATGGGGCAGTGGACAGTGCAGAAAAATTGCTAGATGGGACAGCATTTCAATTTAGCATCTGGACTAATGAGTGACATCACACCATCCACAAATGTCTTGTCTGATATACTGGACTATGAATAAGTTTGCTGAGTTGTTGATGATTTTTATGCAACTGAAAAGGCCAGAAAATAAGTGATAACCATAGGAGTCAACACTTTGAAAACAATGTCATAACAAGGGGCCCACTATACTGACCAAACATGTCAAATTCCATTTTCATCAATTGCAATGAAAGCATTTTATGAAAATATTAACCAGTGGTATATCTGAACTTCATTCAGCTTTTTCATGAAAACTGTGGATTAGAACACTTTGCTATCACACACTTTGTAAGTACAACGTAAATTTCATCATATACTTTTTTTTATTCATTCACTTTGCAATGAATGTTCAATTATTTGAAGAAAATTTTATATTTAAAAATTGACATCATCTTCATCTAGATATCTGCAAATTCCCTATTGCTCATTGCTTACAGGTTCAGATAAATGAAAGATCTAACCCCAATAACCTACTCTTCTTTCCCAATGGCAGGAATACAGACAACTCAATGGAAACCAGGAACTTTCCATGGAAAATGTAGCTGGAAAGGCATATATTGCTGTTTTATGTTCCTGAGGACTGGCAAACTCACAAAAATCATTTATGGCCTGTAATCTTAGACACAACAGGCACTCTGCTGTTAAAACATGCACAATATTAACTGAACAAATAAAAAATTAGAGTATGATCCCAGAGCAAGTTTGGACTCAGACAGGGAGGTGTGAAGTTAAGTCAAACACACTCATATTTTAACAAAGCCTCATATTTTAATCATTAAGCCAGACTCTATTGACTTGTTAATGCAGGGTTAATGTTGCTCCAACATCAATTAAAGTGCTAAAACATGGAGATGTTCATGGGTTGGAGCATCCTAAATCATTTGTCACAATCATCTCAAGGGTTCCAATGAGAACAGCAGTCTTCCACTAACTTCAAATTGGACCGTGTATAGAGTCATATATGAGGTGAGATTTTCTCTCATGTCTTATTTTCACCCACATTGTAAATGTGGTCACAGGTTAAACCAGGAGGCAGGAAATTAAAAATAACAATCTGGGCAAGTATACTGCAATGACTAAATAACACATTATGAGCAGAGAATGGTCTAGAGGCTTTAATTAAAAGTTATTTAAACAATGTTCTTTTTATGTTTTTTCGGATCATGTCTGTAGACAATGCCACCAGTTGCTTGACTTTCAACTCAGGGTTTCTCAGCTTGAGGGGAAACTGTGAGTCACTATGGAGCAATACGGAGACTGAGTTCTCTGCATCACATCTTTCAGGAGGCAGTCACTTCACAGGCAGTGAAGGATCAGGACACTAAGTAGGTGACCATCAGAAGATTTGGAAGAAGCAGAATGTCATCAGGGTGTGTGCCATTTTCCTTTACTTCAGCTTCAGTTGTGTAGCAGCATAGATTAATTTTGGCATCCACTGACTGTTGTCGTTCCTTTCTAATTTCCCTTACTTAGGCTTAAGGTTCAAATCAAAATTTCTCACCCTCAAAATAAATGTGAAATTCTCTTCCCTGGAGAACCCTTTACTGTGTGATTGTTAATTAATCCTACATCACTACACATTCCCTCATCTAAAATAACTTGTTGTCTGGTTGGTTCCAAATATAACTGTCTAAGAAACTATCCCAGATACTCCACTCATTATATTTGCCAATTTGCTTAGTCCAATCGATATAAAGATTTTTTTCTTTTGAAAAATCCATGATTACTACAGAGCATTTCTTAAAAGCCCACATTATTTCTTGATTTATACTCTGTCCCACAGCATACCCAGAGAACACAATCCAAATTAGAAAGTACTTAGACTAGTCCTGTTTTTTTCACTTTGCAACCAATTCTACATTTTGATCTTCTGAAACAAGAAATATATCTCACTACTATACTGATCTAATCCTTTATTTGCAGAGCCACACCATCTCCTTTTATTTTCTTGCCATCATTTCCAATGTCAAATATGTATCAATATTCAGTTCCCAGCCTTGGTCACCTTTCAGTCCCTGTAACTGTATGTCTATAATGGCTACTATATCATACATATTTGGCTGTATTTATTCCACCACCTCATCTACCTTCATCTGGATGCTGTCTGCATTCAGGTAGACCTCTGTCTTTTTTTTTTTCACTTTTTTTTTCTATTTTCCAACACACTGCCATGTTGATTGGCTATTCCTTCACGATGTTTTGACTCTCAGTACCCATATTGCTACCCTCCACTATTAGGCTGAAAAAGGTATGATGACTTTAACAACCATGTGGCCTACGAGGCAGCTTGCCCAGTTGAAGAAAGCTATGTTGATCAACAACAACCTGTCTGATGGATGACAGCCTCCTTCAACATGAACAACTGCTTTGAGGTATTCAGGATAGTGACTCTTGGCTTACAGAAACCAAGGGTAGGAGTAACTTTCTACAATATTATCCTTTGTTGCCTTGGCGGCCAGACTGTTATGTTAGGTCAAAATGACTGATTTTAATCATATTTATTTGCTGCCAGGAAGGTGATATCTTCATTTGAAGGGCCATTCTGGCTCATTATTCATCAGCCTCAACTGTTTGCAACTTATTCTTCAGCTCTAACCAAATCCACTGCAAATGAATAACTGCATTGACTCTTAGTGTTAATTTTTTTTCAAGCTTTTAAGTATACATCATTAAGCACCAAACTAGTTTGCTGTTGATCGTACAGAAAGTCTGTTTGTTTTAACATGCACTTAAGATTTTATAAACATAAATGCTGACATTATGGACAATTTTAATACCTGGTCACTGAACATCAATATCATTCAGCGTTGTAAATTGGATATGCAGGTTACTCTACTGTACCAAATGGTATTTTGAGCAAACATCCGATGCAGTGTTGCAAGTCAGTCACTACTTAAACACACCATTTAAAATGGAATATCTAAAAAGGTCAGAATAAGTTTAATGAAATGCTGCAAAGAAACACTTTTTAAAATCCACATGGCAACAAGATAGTTGAACTCCTGCCCCGAGCAAGATTGTTGAGAGCTTTTGACATTTTGCAATAAACTTTCTTGCACTGGAGGAAATCAGTGTTTCTTCGACAGAAAACTGCGCAATACCCAGAAGACTGTCATCATATCGGTTCCTCCTCAATCACAGCACTTTTATTAATGAATGTAGAATTCAACATTCCACTTGGCTATCACAATTCTAAACTTTGTTGGCATAACATATCAGTATACTTAGTCGCATCCTGAGAATAAGATTCTCGTCCACGATTTGGAACCTTGCTTAATTCTTTTGTCGCTGTATTATCTCTCCATTTAAAATCTGCAGGTTTGTGAAAGAGGAAAGGCGGTTTTTAAAAGGTATTTCCTTGATGTAGGCCAGTAGAATGGGAAATGTAGATGCATTTTCAATGCTTAACTGGTTCCTTTACCCAAAAGCACTTTGTAAATCCATGTTGCAATGTGCAGTCAGGACAGTCATAAGAGGTCCGCATTCTGCTGTGCAGGAGTCAGGGGGACAGCAGACCAATATTGCTCTCCTGCTGTGTAAACTAAGCAGACCCCACTGTCATCTCATTGCAGTTAGACAATTTGCTGCCAACCTCATGGATAAGATACAGGTGTCCCACTTTAATGTGCACTGTAGTTTCATAAAAGTGATGTATTGATATCAACTAATTATTTAAAGAAAAGCAAAACAGTTGAGCTCCCAGGAGCTTAATTTCCTCTGACACTGCATTACTTTACAAGTTTTCACAAGCTTTCCTTTTTGTGCTACTTTTATGCAATTGTTACATAGTTTAGAGAACGCACAAAGGAATTTTACATGTTTACGTTAAGTAAAGCCACCACAGGAAATTAAATCCTTGGCACCAATCTTAAATCAGAAGGGTTAAAGCCCAACTTAAATATGTTTCAGCTGTATAAGAACCCTCAAGTGGGCAGTGCAATTAGTTGGTTTATGGGAGACAGAAGCAGCTTGCATATAAATACAAATGACTTAAGGTGAGTGTTAACTTTAGGCCTGATTTTAAAAAGGAACCGAGTATCAGTCTAAAATCCAAAAGCATGTGAAAATTAGACAAATACAATCCCCTTAAATATTGTAGCAAAGGACAATATTCAAGAAAAAAAACAAACGATCTCATGGTATTTTGAATTTGCCTGAAAATTAAGCTATATGAAAATAATGTCTCTCAAGTAATTCTGCTGCATTTGTCTGAGCACATTATTACAGATTTTTCAATTAGCCCATTGAACAACACATAAACTAGGGAAATTGAAGGTGACAATACCTTCCAATAACAAAGGCTTCCCCTATGTCTTTCCACCTAATGTACCAATGGTCCCATCCAATTCAGAATGAATCACAGGATAAAAAAAAACAGGAGAACTGAATAAAACCAATGCAAAGATGTAGATTTCCTACCTTGTTCAGGCTCCGAGCTGCACTGTCTTTTCCACCTGGAGTTAGGTTACGAAGTTGCATGTTGAGCAAATCGACTAACTGTTCCATGAGCTTGACAGAGAATAAAATATCGCCAGCATGAATCAGACTTTTTGTCTGCTCTGCAAGTTCTCGAGCAATATTGGCAGCAGCCTCCCCGGATCGAACCTGTGATTTTAAAAAGGCACATCATCTTAAAAAGATACATTGCTCGCTTCCAGTCTGGAAAAAAATCATATAATGAGCCTTCTTCTGTACATTTGGTCACCAATTTATCTATGCACTCTACACAATTCTGTCTAAATGACATTAATACTAGTCAATGAATACCAAAATTTATTTTGAATCTGAATTGGTCCTCTAATGTGGTCCATATCTGTGAAGGATATGTTTGTTCTTTCGCTATCAATCCTCATGTGTCAAATATCTGCAGTCTTCTTTTTCAAATCTATAAACCATAGGTCTGAACATCTAAATTCTGTTTGGAGGTCTTTTGTGATCTAATTTAAACAATGGAATTTTGTGGACATTCTAACGATATGTCTTTCATCTCTGTTGCTTGGTATTAATCTGTCACATGCCCCGATCACATATCTTTCTCAAATGAGTTAAACTGGCCTTTCAAAAGGGATTTGTCTGCTTGCTAATAATCTGTGTATCTTCAACACACTCTGACTCACTTATGAACAAAGACATTGAAGGAGGTCTCATGTACTTCAGCACAATTCAATACTGTTGACCATGTATTTTACCTGCAGATTAATTGCTTGCTTACTGTTTAAACATGATAGCCCTCATCAGTGTGATGCTTTCCAGGCCCATCCACCATGAAATGTTAATGATAATGGTGTAATAATAAATTTCTCGTCAGGTATTGATTAACTCCACGGGTTAGTTTACTTAAAGCAAAACAATTTCAAGTTATGAAACAGACATTACAGCAACAAACTGATTTGTGTGTGTCCAGCCTATAGCCTAACTGGAAGGCAAAGTCGCAATACTGAAGGTACATACTTGGAGTCCTTAAATGTGAATTTTCCTAAAGACGAGGTACACATTGCACAATTCCAAGATCACGTCTGCAAATATTTTTCAGGTTGGGGCATTTGTGGAATGAGTTTTAGCAGTAATGAGGCAGATTACATCTCTGTGCTTATACGTAATCTGAATTACATACACCCCATCCCTGACTCCAACCCCACTTTGTCTCCACTCCATGCTAACTAAATTTATTTTCTTTTTGTCTGGGAGAAGTAACACAAACATTTAAGAGCAAGCAATTAGGAAAATATATTTATGTTGAAAAACAAACTTGTTTTATATAAAGAAGCAACAACAAAGTTCACAGCCCAAACTCTTAACAGTGTTGTAGAATTCTGTATGAAGTTGAAGGATGGGATACAGATAATGTAAAAAATATTGACCCTGATTTTCCAATCCAGTGTAGGTGGGAGTTACAGATGGGGATGTGACAAAATCTTTATTGTAAATGATGCTAAGAGAATCATCTGAGAAATTGAAGATTATGCTGGACAATTCACAAAAAGTCATCATAGAATCCCTACAGTGTGGAAGCAGGCCAGTCGGCCCATTGAGTCCACACCAACCCTCCAAGAAGCATCCCACCCAGACCCACTCCCTACACCATCCCACCCTAGACACCACAGGCAATTTAACATAGTCAATCTACCTAACCTGCACATCTTTGGACTGTGGGAGGAAACTAGAACATGGGGAGAATGTGCAAACTCTACACAGACAGTCACCCAAGTGTGGAATCAAACCCGGGTCCCTGGCGCTGTGAGGCAGGCAGTGCTAACCACTGAGCCACCATGCCAGCAGTTTTGGAACCTCTAAATGTCTCTGTCTATTTCAGAGAATTCGAAGGGTTCTGCTGGAGTTAAGTAAATAGTTATTCAAGAAAAAAAACACACTATTAAATATCTTTGTCTGACTTCTGAGTAATGATGAAACTGACGCCTAACTTAGTTCATGCATCGCTAGCTCTACCTCCCCCCAGAGTTTGTGCACTCCTTAGACCCTGAACTGACAACTCTCTCCAACCAGGACCCATCAAACACTGCCACCAGACCTCACCCCCTTCCACTGTTCTAAACCTGGCACCTTCTTTGTCCAAGATAACAAGGTGTAGAGCTGGATGAACACAGCAGGCCAAGCAGCATCAGGGGAGCAGGAAGGCTGACGTTTCGGGCCTAGACCCTCCTTACTTATGCACGTTTTGAATGCAGTTCTCAGAGTGACTGTGTGTGATGTTGAATCTTTAAATATCAGGGTACATCAGCTAACTGAAGTAAAAAGGGGACATAGTTTGTATTCTCCCAACTATTCTACTCTACAAGGTACCTGTCAGAAAGGAAGCATGCTCCTCATTTTTGAAGGAGCCCTGATTGCAACCTCCTGGCAGAAATGTACAGGTCTTTCGTTGTGGCAGAACGATCAGAGTGACAATTGCATGAGATTACCACTCCTCAGAAAATCAGGCCCATTATTTGAACAACACCAGGTGAAACACAGAAGGCTGCATTTCAATTTGAGTGATCATTTGATCAAGGGATAAATAGAGATGAACTAACAGGCCTTTTTGCCCAGCTTAAAGGTGTGCCCAATTAAAGAGAATTGGTAAAGCTTATGAAAAAGAAATTCATGCAGATGAAGTTTTGGGCCTAAAAAGTCATCCATATAGGACAGTAGAGTCAATTATATTGCATCCAGTACCACACAGAAGTCCTCTGTCATTCAGAAATGACTCTTCAATATAGGCAGCTACAGTTTTCCAACATCTGAATGTCTCCATAGATCTGTCCATGCACCTACTTACAATCAAGTGGCAGCTATTCAATTGGGATTTAGGGAATAGGATCAGAGACCCTATTTCAAACATTGATAAGACAGAAAAAGAACATAAAGTTGTATTCTTCTGACTTTATTGAGTCATCTTCTGATGGAAGAACCTGGCTGGAGGGGAGTGAGAGGTGTGGGTCAGTGCAAGTGACTAAGGAGTCAGTTGTATAGTTACTCAGGAGATAAACTAGGTTTTCTTACTAGGTAAGTCAGATCTGTCTGACTCTACCTCCGATGAAAAAAAGTGCAACTCAGGCCTGAATAGAGTCAGGAAAATTCCCAGCTCCATGATCTCAACCCACGATGAAGTCCTCCAGAATTCTGGATTTTTGTTGTGGGGCTTCAGGAGAAAATGTAATCTGTGTTGGGCAACCCTCCATATTGTTTGGAGGCTGTTGGGCATAAAGAGGTCTGGAAGAAAATGTCCCAAAAGTTTGGTTTGTCGATGGGGTGGGTTTGATTATATATCCACTTGGAGCTGTCAAAGAAGTGTGAACTGACCCGCAAGTGAAAATGAAAGGTTAGAAATCAGTCATACAGCACTAACCCTGTAATAATAACTAAAAAAAATGAAAGAACTGCGGACGCTGTTAATCAGAAACAAAACCAGAAATTGCTGGAAAAGCTCAGCAGATTTGGCAGCATCTTTGGAGACAAATTAAGAATTAACATTTTTGGTCAAGTGTCCCTTCCTCAGAATGGAGAAATAATAATCCTGTGATTATAATCCTCAGGCTCATGCCAATACAGATTAAATACTACTTCTAAAAGCCAGAAGCTATAAGTGCTCTGTTAGCTTGACAGTTCTCTTGACAGTTCCAATGAATGTCAGCACTTTTTCTTTACACACATACATGTCTACTTTTAAGAATCCCAAAAGGCACCTGATGACTCCCAAAATTTTCCTGGAACCATGTTGTGAACTGAATCTTCGAAGGAACTCTGTTGAGTTTTGAACATTCTACTAAGAAAGATCAGATGCATTCTAACATAGGTAGTTGTCTCTGTGAATAATGGATGTGTAAGTTAGAATTCACCCTTATCCCTCACTGTGAAAATACTGAGGGCCTGTTTCAGGAATGGGACATCACAATTCAGGTTTCTGCTGCCATTTTTGTGATAATGGAAAGCAGTTCCAATTGTGTAAATATTCAGGCCTCAGTACTGGTAATTGATATTGGATATAAAGATGCAGGTGATATGACTTTTATGAAAGAATGAAATAGCAAAGACTTAAAATGGTGAAAGACTGTGCATTTATTGTGCCTGGTTAATGTGAAACAACATAGAGTCATACAGCACAAAACAGAGCCTTCGGTCCAACTCGTCCATGCTGACCAGATATCCTAAATAAATCTACTGCCACTTGCCAGCATGTGGTCCATATCCTTCTAAACCCTTCCTCTTCATATACCCATCCAGATACCTTTTAAATGTTGTATTGTACCAGCCTTCGCCACTTCCTCTGGCAGCTCATTCCATACACGCACCACCCTCTGCATGAAAAAGTTGTTCCTTTGGTCCCTTTAAATCTTTCCCCTCCCACCTTCAACCTATGCCCTGTAGTTTTGGACTCCCCTACCCTGGTGAAAAAAAACCCTGACTATTCACCCTATCCATGCCCCTCATGATTTTATAAACCTCTGTAAGGTCACCCCTCAGCCTCTGATGCTCCAGGGAGAAAAGCCCCAGCCTATTCAGCGTCTCCCCATAACTCAAACCCTCCAGACCTGGCAATGCACTTGTAAATCTTTTCTGCAGCCTCCCAAGTTAGTTAACTAAACATAAAGAAGGCTGCATAAGACGGCTAAATTAGTAGAATACAAATTACAGAACATAATGGTGAAACAATGCAGAGCTTTCATCGGACTCAACCTTGTAAACTGTGCTCATTTCTGATCTAGAAGCATACAAAAGATATTCAAGGTCTTGTGGGGATGAGGTGTATCAGCCTAGCATCAAACGCCTAAACCAAAGGAAAGGGCTAAAAAAAAACTTGAATGTGTCATCCTTAAAAACGTAAAACCTCCCCCCGCCCCGAGGGACCTTCTGGAACTATGGATGATGAAGAATTATCTAAATCTGGCATGCTAGTGTTTTAACCTGACAAAAGGCAAGTTTAGCACAGATGCCAGAAAGCAGTTCATTGCCTGAAAAGTTATCAACATATGGAATGGACTCTCAGAAATGGTGATTTTTATTAAAAATGTGATTTAACGGAGAATTAAATTCAATCAGCGGTGATACAACTTTTCAAAGCAACTGAAGCAAGTAAAGTTAGAATGCCTTTCTCCTTTGTGTACGTT